TACTCAGGGTACGACTCAAATATGAGATCACCTTCTCTTCACCACCGATGTCTTGGACAAGAGTTGCACCTATGCCGATGTTGGACGCATCAGTATGAATATAAGTAGGCGCATTTGGATTGAAGTGCCCTAAGATTGGTGGACTTAATAGTGCTGTTTTTAGGGTTTGAAACGCTTCCTCTTGCCTTTCTGTCCAGGTAAATGATACACTTTTTTTTAATAAGGTTGGTCAAAGGGTCAGCAATTTTTGAGAAATCTTTGATAAATTTTCTATAATATGAGCACATTCCCAAAAATGATTGTACTTCTTTGACCTTTGTGGGCCGAGGAAAATTTCTGATAGCTTTGATGTTATGTTCCGCGGGTTTTATACCATGTTTGCTCGTTATATAGCCGAGAATCTCCAATTCTTCAAAACCAAATCGGCATTTTTTGTCGTTTAATCTTAAATTAGATTCACGAATACATCTAAAAACAGCTTCGAGTCTTTTGAGGTGCGTTGGAAAATCCGGGCTATATATGATAACATCATCCAGATAACACAAACAAATTTGCCATCTCAGGTTTCCAAGCATATTCTCCATATTTCTCTCAAAGGTAGCAGGCGCGTTACAAAGTCCAAAAGGCATCACGTTGAATTCATATAACCCATGTGCCGTAGTGAAAGCCGTCTTCTCTTTGTCTCTCTCTTCAATTTCGACTTGCCAATATCCCGATTTGAGATCTATTGCTGAGAAGTACTTGGATCCTTGGAGAGAATCCATTACATCATCAATTCTTGGGATTGGATAAACATCCTTCACTGTTACTTCATTTAATTTCCTGTAATCCACACAAAATCTGTATTTGCCATCTCGTTTTTTGACCAATATAACGGGAAAGGACCAGGGACTTGAAGATGGTCTAATTATTCCTTCTTCAAGCATCTCGTCTATTTGATCCTTTATGATGGTTCGTTCCTTAGCACTTACCCTGTAAGGCTTGTGCTTTATCGGTTTTGCGTCTTCTGTATGAATCTGATGTTTTGCCAAATTGGTCCTGCCTAACCTCGATGAGAACAAATCAGTATACTTGGCCAAAATTTGTTTTAACCTCTCTTGTTCTTTAAATGATAAATTTTTGTTTATTTGAAATTGTATTTCGTCATTTTCATTCTGCTTCTCTATATTCTCTATAAAATTTACCTCTGCAGGAAGACTTCCATAAGCCAATGTTTGGTCTTTCATGATTTTTAAAGGTCGAGGATAAGGGTTCGTTATCCAGATATGAGTTTTCTTATCCGTGACAGTAAGCAAACTTCTTGCCAATCGAAGACCATTTGTTTGAGTCATTTTGTTGTTCTCTTCGATGACATATTCCCCATCCTCTGCTTCTATTGAGGCCCTAATCAATTTAATAGATAGTTTAGGTATAACGGTATCTGTCGTGCTCTTTATTTTTTTTAGGTCATAATTGCTTACGTCATGATTACTCATCAATTTATATTTTATCGTTTCCGTTTACAATCAATTTTAGCATTCATTTTTTTAAGGAAATCTCGTCCAAGAATAAGAGTTCGTAGATGCGCGTCCATTACTACAAATTCGTGGGATAATTCAGTGTCATCAATTTTTAAATCTAAAATAATGCTACCTACCATATCTAATTTTTTCCCATCGGGTCCTGAACATGTTTTAGTGAGACTATTTATTTCACGGCCAGCAAAAAGTGCTGTCCTTAGGTCGACCACTGAAAGATCGGCGCCTGTATCAATCAAAGCTTCGCATAACCCTATCTTGTCCACATTAATATTAATTTTGTACCTAGGGTCCAACTTTCTAATTCCATTTATGGTCGACTTGCTTTGATTGAAGGAATCAGGCGCGACACTTAGTTTAAATCTTCCAACACGGAATATCTATTCCGTGTAGGAATATTCGTTTGTGTGTCATTACAAACATCCGCATAGAGGCGAGGCCGTGTATAATCTTTTCTTTCGTCCATTTGAAGATTTTCTTGACTCTTGTCTTGGGAAACTGAGGGGTCCTCTTCTACGATCCTCACAAACTTGACTCTGCAATACCGCGCTACGTGTCCTGGCTTGTTACACTTGAAACATATTGGTCTCCCGTCTTCTGTCCTATTCCTATTTGAATTTGGATTCTTATTGTATGTTTTACTTGGGTAGACCGGTTTTGGCTCAGGATTGGGAGTGTAAGATCGTCTAGGGGCAGATACCTGGGGCAGAGGCTTGTTCTGGTAGTACCTCGGAGTGGGGGCCTGGGACTTGGAGGTGTTCTGGTAGTACCTCGGAGCGGGGGCCTGGGACTTGGAGGTGTTCTGATATGGTCTTCTGAACGACGTAGCATTCTTCCATTGCTCTTGATGATGGGGACGAGGAGAGCGTGGTCCAATATATAGAGCTCTTGATTTTTCTGCACGTTCTTGGTAATTCTTTTCGAAAAAATCCAGCTTTTTACAAATTTCTAGAAGTTCATTGGTATTTTTAGGAGGGTTTAGGTGAAGGGCAAAAGAGTATTCTTTCTTTAACCCTCCAATAACCCAGTTTATTTTAGTCTCTTCTTCCATTTGGGGGTCGACCTTGTTGCACAGTACAAGGATATCCTCTGCGAACCTGATTGCAGGTTCATTCCACTGTTGCATCCTGTTTAGTCTCATCTTTATTTCTTCTTTGTTGGCGTCTGAGGCAAAATCCTCAATTAGGCGGCTCTTGAAATTTTCCCAGCTGGTGAAACTTATCTTGTGTAGGTTCAGCCAGGTTTTGGCGCTACCAATCATATTCATGGCAGCATAACGAGAGATAATGTAGTCTGCCCAATGGTACAGGAAGCCAATTTCTTCAAGAGATTCAATCCATGGGCGAGGGTCTTCCGTTCCATCATACTTGGGGATGTCGATGTTGGGATTCAGGACAACTGGGTCGGAACTAGCATCTCCACCAATTGTTGCACCAGGTTGCGGCTTGGCAGACTCTTCAGCCTTGATTCTCTCCTGTGCTGGGTCTTGCATCTTACCAGAGCGTGTTTCAACCATCCTACAAATTTATATAAGGGAATAATGAGATAAGTCTACTTTAAGTAGCCTCCAGAATACTTTATTTATTTTCTCACATCAAAGAGAGCAGTGAAGTCACGTGTACCTAAATACAAATGATGATAAACTAAATAATCTGTTTTAAATAAATATCATAGAATATTTTATATAAAAATAAATAAATATATATAATTTAAATTTCAAATATATTTAAAAATAATATAAGAAATACGCCATTAATCATGATGTAACAATAGGCAGACATTTCTATTGACTATACAGACATTTGATGAGGGAAGAAGGAAATATATGAAAATAGAAACGAAATAATATAAATATTATCATTTTATAACCATCAGTATATATTAAATGGATAAATTAACTAAGCCAACAATTAAACAGTTTAAAATAGAAATAAAAAGGGGGAAATGAAATATAAAGTATAAATATTTTTTTATTTTCAAAAATATTTTTATAAAAAAAAATAATTATGAGGGCTATGACAAGGTTCACGCTGCAAAAGCTTCGGCAGTTACGCGTCATATATGCAGAACATAAGATTAAAGGGAAAGAGGTGAAGAGAGTTAGAGTATAAAAAAAGCTAAATATATATATCTACTAGCGGATGTGTACCCGGCTTCGCCCGGGTTTTATCCGAGTGAAAGTTTGCCTAACGAATATTATATATTATGAAGTATAATAAACAATGCTAAAGATTAGTTTTAATTATTAATCAAAATTTTTTGTGAATATGTGAGAAAGATGTAATATCGTTGTTGTTTTCTTGGCCGACTGTTTTACATATGGTGTTATCTTAAAATTGCTTGTTTTGAATATTTTTTTTAGATTGAGTTGAATGAATTGCTGAATTTTTTTTGTATTTATATATAAATAAAATTAACTCTGTTGAATTTTTTTTTGTATTTTATCGATAACAGCAAAGTTATGTATTTTAAAGTTAGGAAAAATATTTTGATGTTAAGCAAAACCTGCTCCATCTCGTTTTACATAAATGTTGAAAATTTGGTCGAAATTGATGCATTGTAACGAAAGTTTATAGCGAACACCACTTATGAAATTTCCATTTATATAGAAGATATAATATAAATGAGTTTTAAAAATTGTTTAAAAAAAATGCATCGGCCGGGAATCGAACCCTGGCCGCCCGCGTGGCAGGCGAGCATTCTACCACTGAACCACCGATGCTTTAAAAAAATCAAATTCATTTATCGTCGCGACAAGTGCTGCGCCCTAGCGGTAAAAGACTGGAACTAACGCTTTTTGGTTTTTATTTAAAAAAAAAAGCACATTAACTTTTTTAGTTTTTTGAATAGCCTATATGTTAAACGAAATCTTCAGCTACCTACATGCGAAATTCCATAATGATTGAGTCAGTAGATTTTGCGTGATGCGATAACAAACATCGATTTCGCATTTCATTTTTATATATATACTAGCGGATGTGTACCCGGCTTCGCCCGGGTTTTATCCGAGTGAAAGTTTGCCTAACGAATATTATATATTATGAAGTATAATAAACAATGCTAAAGATTAGTTTTAATTATTAATCAAGATTGTGTGTGAATATGTGAGAAAGATGTAATATCGTTGTTGTTTTCTTGGCCGACTGTTTTACATATGGTGTTATCTTAAAATTGCTTGTTTTGAATATTTTTTAGATTGAGTTGAATGAATTGCTGATTTTTTTTTGTATTTATATATAAATAAAATTAACTCTGTTGATTTTTTTTGTATTTTATCGATAACAGCAAAGTTATGTATTTTAAAGTTAGGAAAAATATTTTGATGTTAAGCAAAACCTGCTCCATCTCGTTTTACATAAATGTTGAAAATTTGGTCGAAATTGATGCATTGTAACGAAAGTTTTTAGCGAACACCACTTATGAAATTTCCATTTATATAGAAGATATAATATAAATGAGTTTTAAAAATTGTTAAAAAAAAAAAGCATCGGCCGGGAATCGAACCCTGGCCGCCCGCGTGGCAGGCGAGCATTCTACCACTGAACCACCGATGTTTTAAAAAAATCAAATTCATTTATCGTCGCGACCAGTGCTGCGCCCTAGCGGTAAAAGACTGGAACTAACGCTTTTTGGTTTTTTATTTTTTAAAAAAAGCACATTAACTTTTTTTAGTTTTTTGAATAGCCTATATGTTAAACGAAATCTTCAGCTACCTACATGCGAAATTCCATAATGATTGAGTCAGTAGATTTTGCGTGATGCGATAACAAACATCGATTTCGCATTTCATTTTTATATATATATAAGGAAGGAAGGATTAAGTTAGAGATGAAATACTTATCATCAAAATATACATTAATTTTATTTAAGACAAAATTCTGTGAGCCATCTTTTTAATTTATTTTACCAAGGCTAGATGGCGCCAGGTATTCAAGCATTCCTAACAAACAGAACAATGCTGATCTCATCCACTTTCCAAACTCTCCATTATGTGTAAAAGTAAAAACATTGTTATTATGGTTTTATTAAGATTGAGAAGTTATGAAATATCACTACATGTATACAACACATGCCCTAGCTGAACTGGCACTGTTAAAACTATTTTATAGATCCTTTTCTTTTGTACATAGAAGGAAGGTCTTAGGTGAAGGGAGACCACGAGCAAGACATCTATATCTATAGATAGCCCCAGCTTGGACCGACCGAGGGCAAAGGTCGGCGTGGGCGGAGACGACGGAGCGTCATGTTACATTCTTTTTTGGTCAGATGGCAGGATTCCCTTGTTAGAAGCGGAGGGGAAAGTTGAGTTCCCTTGCCAGGCGGAGCAGACACGCCAAGAAAATCCTACAAGCAGCGTCTTGTAGACGGAACGACGTCGAAGAAAATCCCACGAGCAGAGTCACGTGGACGGAAAGACGTCGAAGAAAATCCCACGAGCAGAGTTTCGTGGACGGGAAAGGACGCATTGGAGTATCCCTCAAGCAGCAACTTGAGGACGGAAAAGGACGTCTTAGACAACCAACGAGTCGTGACAATTAGACAACCAACGCGCGACAATTGGACATCGCACAAGACAAGAAAAGCCTGCGACGGTGCTGCCACTCCAGAGGTACTGTGTAAACAAACGCTCGACACCCCCCCCCCCCGCCATTTATTTTTGTCTTCCTTCCCTAAGACTACTTTAATTTTTTTACTTTCTCTTTTGCTTAACCTTGTTTATTGTTTTTTATACATAACCCCTTAGATATAAGTATAATTTAGCTTAACCATTTTTCTTGTTTTTACCCATAATAATAGTATAATAGTTTTTATCCCTTTTGTTTTTAATTTTTTAAAATAAATCCTTTTGTTATACTGTGTTTCTGTGCATTTATTTCCCCCATTGTTTTTCCTTTCAATCGATCACCCTTTTATTTTTTTTAAACGAACACGAACATTTTGGTGAGCCGGACGTGATCGATTTAAGGGAAATATGGAGGAAATGGATGCACTTAAAAAGCGCAGGAAAGCCATAAGAGGTACTTTCACTAGAATTATCAATGAAATAAATGGGGAATTTGAAAAGTCTCAAATTGATAGGAATGATATTTATTCTAAATTTAATAGACTAGAGTCTTATTACACGAAACTTGTAGATCTAAACGAAAAATATCAGGCTTTATTGGTAGTGAAAGAAGGGATTACAGAGGAAAGTATTGATAAGGAATGGCAAGAATGCGATAAATATGAAGAGGAAAAGTTTGATATTCAACAGAAAGTCAGTGTACTACGGAATCCCGATAAAGAAGAAACAATCCCGATTGCTAGCGAGGACACTGTAATAAATGTGAAATTACCAGAGTTAGCCCTAAAAAGCTATGACGGCTCTCTGGAAGGTTGGTTGCCCTGGTGGGCGCAGTTTTCGAAAATTCACGAAAATAAGAATTTATCCGATAGCGACCGGTTTTTATATTTGCGTCAAGCAATTGTACCAAATTCAGAAGCCTATCGTGTTGTAGCAAGCTATCCCGTTACAGGCGCCAACTATGTTTTGGCAGTACAAGCCCTACAGGAGCGATTCGGTGACCCGAATATACTGACAGAACTGTATGTCAGACGTCTATTGAATTCGGTTATATCTAATGTAAAGAAGGAAAATAGAAATTTAAGCAGTCTGTACGACGAACTGAGCAGTCACCTCCGGTCGTTAGAGACACTGGGCATTGATCCCCAGTTGTCGGGTATTTTTTTATACCCTCTTGTCGAGTCTTCATTACCTTCGGATATTTTGAAAATATGGCACAGGCATCCTTCTTCGGGTTATGGTATGGAGTTAGCAAAACGGGAAGAGTCAGATAAAGGGGTTGGAGGAGCTCAAGAAAGGCTCAGGTTATTATTGGACTTTCTAAAAGCCGAAGTAAGGAGTGCTCAACGGCTGAAATTTGTGGAAAAAGGCTTTAAGCAGGAGGAACCCTATAAAAGGTCTTACAATGATGGGACCAGAACAAGGAGCAATTTCAGACCCGCCACTGTGTCTAGTCTGTTCGGAGGGCGAACTAATATAAAATGCTTCTTTTGTGAAAGAACAAATCATGCGAGTCATCAATGCCGCTCCATAATGAAAATGTCTCCGGGAGAGAGAAATGATAAAATACGTAGTGCCCATCTATGTTTCAAATGCTTAAGAAAGGGACACATACAGAGTCAGTGCCGAGAACAATTGGAGTGCAAAAACTGTGGGAGAAACCACTTGGAAGTTTTATGTGAAGGAAATTCTTCTAACCGGTTAACGAAACCGGGAAGAGAAAATCCAAAGGAAAATGCAACTGAACCCGTTGCATCGCTTTCTAGTCAAGCCTGCACAGGTCAGGTCTTGCTGATGACCACGGTAGCACTGTTAAGAGGCCCAAATGCCTCTAGAAGGGTTAGAATTCTCCTCGACAGTGGAAGTCAGTTTTCGTATATCAAACAGTCGTTAGTCTGGAGTATAGGAATAGAAAGAAAGGGCGAAATAACCATAGCTAAAAGTCTTTTTGGAGGTAATAAGATTGGTGAAGAAAAGCACGGTAAATTTATGTTAGAATTAGAGAATTTAGGTAATAAAAGAGATGTGATCCATATTGAGGCGCTGGATCAACGTAAAATTTGCGACGCCATACCACCTTTGCCAAAAGGAGACTGGTTAGAAAAATTGAAGATTAAGGGCATAATATTGTCTCAGGACAATTTTAAAGGACAAGAGATTGACATATTGATTGGCGCTAACTATCTAGGTATGATTTTGACAGGAAAAATAGTTCAAGTTGAAGCAGATTTAACTGCGGTGGAAACGAAATTAGGTTGGACACTAATGGGCAATTCGCCAATTATTGATAGCAATGACAATGTGCAGCAGACTTTGAATCTGCTAACAACGCGATGCGATTTAAAGGATTTGTGGGATCTAGAAGTACTAGGCATTAGGGATCCTGTTGAAACTTGCTCCAAAGAGACCAGATATCAGGAAATAAAAGAAAAGTTTATAACAAAAATTCAAAGACAAAGTGATCAGAGATATTCTGTAGGTCTACCTTGGAAGGTAGAAAATGAGTCAATCCCCAGCAATCTTGACATAGCGATAAAAAGGTTAGATATAAGCACTAAGAAAATGACCTCACAGAATAAGTTGACCGAATATAGTCAGATCTTTAGAGACTGGCTGACTGAAGGACTCATTGAAAGAGTCGAGGAAAATCCTCTCGAGAGAAGAGGCTATTATTTACCTCACCGCCCTGTGTACAAGATGGAATCTAAAACGACGCCCATACGTCCGGTTTTCGATGCTTCTTGTCTAGGCCATAATGGACTATCTTTGAATCAATGTTTAGAAAAGGGACCGAATTTATTGGAAAGAATCCCTGAAATGATGATAAGATTTCGGGAAAATAAATTTGGAGTCACGGCAGATATAAGAAAAGCATTCCAGATGGTGGCGATTGAAGAATCTGAACGGAACTATCTTAGATTCCTTTGGTGGGAAAAGGAGAGCGAAAGAGAACTAATAGCTTACAGGCATAAGAGACTTGTATTTGGCTTAAACTGTAGTCCTTTTGTGCTGAACGCCGTAATAGAATACCATCTTCAATCAATAAGAGGCCCACTTGTTCAATGGGCAAAGATTTTAGCTCAATCCTTCTACATGGACAATTGTATTACCTCGCTGGAAACCAAGCAGGAAGTGCAGGAATTTCAAAAGGCCGCAATTGAAATTATGGACAGGGCTAAAATGGACTTACGAGAGTGGGAATATTCTCTGGAGGAAAACCCTGAAAAGGGGACTTGTACAAAAATATTGGGTGTTGTTTGGAATAAAATGGAAGATTCATTAAAATGCGAACTCCCTGACAATTTGAGTCTTCAACCCAAATTAACGAAAAGGTTGGTACTGTCCATGGTTCAGCGGATATTTGATCCACTTGGATTTTGCGCTCCAGTATTCTTGACACCAAAGTTGTTACTGCAGCGATCATGGGGACTGAAACTAGGTTGGGATACACCTCTACCCGAAAGTATGGCCCAGGAATTTCGAACCTGGTTGGATCAAATAAAATTAATAGAGTTAATAAAGATACCGAGATATATGTGGAATGATCTCATTTTCCCTACAGAAGTTCATATCTTTTGTGACGCTAGTCAAATAGGCTATGGAGCTGTTGCCTATTTACGGAGCGAAACGGGACGAGAAAATACTCTAACTTTGATTTGGAGCAAAGTCAGATTAGCTCCTATGATGAGTATTACGATCCCTCGCTTGGAATTAATGGCCATGGTACTAGGAGCTAGACTAGCCAATGCAATCCAAGCTGCCTTGAAGAGAAAATGTGAAACAACTCTTTGGTCTGACTCTACTACCGCGCTAAGTTGGATAAAGAAAGAAATTGAGTGGAGAGTTTTCGTGAGAAACCGAGTCAGAGAAATACAGGCCACTACCAATTTGAACGATTGGAGGTTCGTTCCTAGTCAGTTGAACCCGGCCGATCTTCTGTCTCGAGGTTGCCCTCCAAGCCAGTTTGTGCAAAGCAGATGGTGGGAGGGC